GGGTATGAGCAGTTTGCTGCTGCTGCTCTTGCAGATTTACCCAGCTGAAGTTCTGTGGCTGAAGAGTAGTGACCAGTTCAGTTCAGGCATTTGGCTTTTCCCTTAAGCTGTGCATTTCCCCCACGTCAGGGACTTCCAGTTTCCTCTTTCTGGAGAGCCCAGGCTTCAGCACAGAGGGCCCCTGCTGCAGCAGAATTGAGGTGTGCAGGAAATGTGAGCCTCAGCCCAGGCTTGGGAACAGTTGTGGTCACTGGTGACGTTAGAGCCTTGCAGGGGACAGTCTGAGGGCCTGGAGCTAGAGCAGGGAATTCCAGGTTCATACCTGCATCTTAATCTGAATATGTTTTTCTTCACTGTGTTGGCACAATCCCCAGATTAGTTACCTCTTCCCTGTATTTCAGCTCTTAGAATATATAAACTGTGGAATGTCTGTAAATAAATTTGGCCACCTGGAACCCCTTTTATAAAGAATTCAGAGCCCAGACTGAAGTTCAGTTTTCAGATGGTCTCACAGTCAGGCTGGTTTCTAGCCTTCAGACCCTGGAGGTGTCCTGTTGTGTTCCATGCTGTGGTGTGAGGCTGGAACCCACCCTGCTGTCCCAGTCTGTTTAGGTGGGGTTGGTCTGCCCTGGTGATCACTTGGCACTCACTGACCATTGCTGTCCTTGTGCAGCTGCCACAATGTCACCTGAAACACTTTTCCACGGGTTACAGAGAGTTTAGATGGGAGCTGCAGTTTAGTATGTAAAACAGTGTCCCTGGCACCTTGTAATCTTCAAGGTCACTGCTGTATTGGACTGCTGGGCGGCAGAAACCTTTCCCACAGTGTGTGTCTGTTACTGTCTGAGAGATCACTGGTCTCTGACAGATAAAAAGACCCAACCAACAGCCCACAACACCCCCTCGCAAAAGCCCAACTAAACACAAAACAAAAAAAATCATCACACAACCCCACCAAAAATGCACCAGCCCTCAACATCCCTCACATATGTTCTGAGCACGTAGAGCTGCAATTCTGTTTTACCTTAGCAAGTGGATTTAAAAGAAAAAGCTACAGCTACTGTGTTGTGAGTTAAATGTTTCATAAAAAAAGAAACCCATTTTGTTACAGTAGCACAGATATAAAACATCCATATTTAAAAATACTGGATTTGAACCTAAGCTTTCTTGTGCTGCTCTGTTTTGCAGGCTGAGATTCTGGGCACGTTCAGGACTCTGTCCCAGCCAGACTTGCACACTGAGACTGTCAGGGCTTGGCCATGAGGGGTGATTTGTTGTGGATGAAAGGGTTGCAGTCCCAGCTGAGTGCACGGCTGGTGTACTGCACTGGGGGGTCAAGGAAAGGCACAGCTTTGTGTTGCTGTACCTCATTTTGGGGTTTAAGGAGCTTGGGTGCCTTTGCAGAGGAGGCTGAGAGCAGAGGTGTGTGTGTTCATTGCTTAATGCCTTCATCACCAGCCCCTGAGCAGGGAATGAGCTAGATCACCGTGGGAAGAGTTAGGACAGGCTGGCAAAGGCTGCTACAGGGAAGTCTGTTTCTTAATATATTATTTTCCTGAAAAACCTCTTTCAGCTAGAATCTGATCTGGTTCAGGAATTACTGATGGTAGTCTATTTTTAAGCAGGCAGCCAGAAAAATGCCACGCATTACTGTGGGCATCTGTGTGCCTTGGAGTTGTTGGATGTGACTATTGCAGTTCTCCAGATTAGGGAGGCACAGTGCTTGATTTACAGATGGGGAACTCCAGGTATCTCTGGCCAAGTTCAAAGATCAGTCTGTCATTCACCCTGGGGACCATCTCAGGCCTCCTGCCCTGCTGGGATGGGGTTTTCCCTTTGCCTCAGTCCTTGTTCAAGTAAAGACAGATAGATGCTGAAGGTCATGTAGGAGAATTTTTACAGTATCAGTCTCCCTTGAGGTGCTGTGTGTTCTTCCTGGCCTGGGGAATGGGGCGTGCTTGCTCCTTGTGGAATTGGGCTGGGAGCTCAGACCAGGGAGAGAGGGATCTGTGGCTGAGGGGGGCAGCCACACCCTGTGTGCTGTCCTCTCACAGCCTTCAGGGCCCCTCTAGAGGGCTCTCAGTGAGAGCAGATGAGTGCACGTTTGGGCTGTCTTGGAAAATCCTGCTTAGAAAGATGTGGTGCTGCCTTAACTGTTCCCGTGGGGCAGTGCCTGTCAGGACACTGCCCCCTTCTCCCCTGTTCCTTCTGTCACTGGTCCATGCCAGCGGGGCAGGTGTGGCCAGGGGCTGGCTGAGGCACAGCCCGTGGATGTGTCCCCTCCTCACAGGCTGCCTCGCTGTGTCTTGCAGGGCAACGTGTACGTCAAGTGTCCCTCGATCGCCGCTGCCATCGCGGCCGTCAACGCGCTGCACGGGCGGTGGTTTGCAGGTGGGTGTTTCACGGCCCTTCTCTACTCAGTCACCCCTGGCAGAAATGCCCAGCCACTGATGGTTGTTTTTGTTTGATCCTGTGCTCAGGTAAAATGATCACAGCAGCGTATGTACCTCTTCCAACGTACCACAGCCTTTTCCCAGACTCCATGACTGCAACCCAACTACTGGTTCCCGTTCGACGATGAAGATTAATTTAGTCAGTTTTGTACATAGGTATTTTTTGGAGGAAGATTGAGTTATCTTTTATTTAGATAAAACTAAAGGAAAGGATTTAATGTCATTTTGTGTACACTTCCTGCTACCTTTAAAAATAAAACGAAGTAAGCAGAAATGCAGTGTGTTCATTCTCCCTAACTAGCATTTCCACTGTATACAAAGCTGTTGACTTCTTGTTCTGCCTTGTAATTCTTGTACATTGACTAAGGTGATCCGTAGGAACTGAGAAGTAGCTCATAGATAACAAGTTCTCTGTAAAAGGCAGATGGGACATAATGACATTTTTAATGTTTCACGAGCCTTTCTTTTAATGCAGCAAAGACATTTTACATTTCACTAAATGTGGGTGATCTGCTCAAGGGCAATATCGGAGAGAGACTGGATGAAGGGACATATTTAGTGTTTTGTACAAATGAAAAATCCAAAAGGCTACTGAAGGCTGACTGCGGCAGCTACTCAGCTTGCTTTGTGCTGAATAATTGGTAAGAATAGAAGGATTGAAGGGTTTTATTTCTTGATGGTAACTTTTGATTAATGTATCTGTAAAAGTTTCTTTGTAAATACTGTGAGGTGTGTCTAAGTTTCCAAACAAAACGATCTCTGCATTTCCGGATGAGTTTCCACGTGTGCAGTGAGGCAGAGCTGACAGATTCCAGCCAAGGCTGAAAAGGGGTAGGAAATACAGAAACGTGTTTTGTTCTGGTTGCATATAATCTTTGCTCTTTTTAAGCTCTGTGAGCTCTGAAATATATTTTTGGGTTACTTCAGTGTGTTTGACAAGACAGCTTGATATTTCTATCAGACAAAGACTTTCATATTGCAACAATCTTTGTAAGAACCACTCAAATAAAATTCTCTTAAAAAGGCCTTCATGAAGCTTTATTTCTCTGCTCTCCCACTGTGACTTAAGCAGTGTGTGCTGTGGCCTGCAAGTGAGTGATGGGTGCTGTGCAATGGTGGATGTCAGGGATACCACTGCAGGTATCCCAGGTGGAGATTCGTGGGATACCACGTGCTCAGAGCACATGCAGGAGCTGGTTCCTGCTGTTCCCAACCCTCTGCTCTGTCACCGTAGTTGTTGAGGACCTGGGCACAGCTCACCCTCCTCAGGCCTGCTGGAGGTTCATCCCAGAGCTGCCTCCCTCCTGCCCACCTCCTCCCCCATCATTCACAGGTGGTTGGCAGTCCTGGAGCTGGAGGAATCGGTTACACTGGCTTTCGCTCTGCTTTCTGGAGGGAGCCTCCCCTGTGCTTTGCCCTTCCTACCCCTGTCCTGCCTCCCTGGCCTTTCTAACCACTCAGAAAAACTGTTTGGCCAAGGTGGAGAGTATGGAGTGAGAACATTCCTCCTGGTGGGGGAAGGCTCCGCAGGCAGTGCAGGGATCCCGCTGCTGTTCCCAGAGCACTGGGATGACTGGCTCTTCAGCAGGGCTGTGCCTGAGCTGCAGTGGGGCAAGGGACTGTCCTCAGCAATCCAGGAACTGGGAGCAGGTGAGTGGAGGGAGCACGGAGGTGGGGAGGGGCCAGGAAGACACTACAGGAGGGTCTGGGGGTTGGTGACACAGCTGCTCTGGTTGAGCTTTCTTTCTTTAGTGTCCAGTATTAGTCCCTCAGTGCCAGCTGGAGGTAAAGGAGCTGTCTGGGCTGAGCCCACGGCAGCAGGCTGAGAACAGGCTTTGAGTGCTGGATTGGTTCCACCTTAAAAACAGGGAAAAAGGCACCTCCACCAGGTCAGGGCTGTACAGGTGCTGGCTCAGGCAGTGCTGCCACTCACCTGTCTCCTCAGGCAGGAGCAGAAAGAGGCCTTGTTTCAAAAGGCAAGTACTGGCACATTGCAACACCGGCCGCCATTTCCTAGGTCTGCTGCAGGCAGTGCTTTGGGGCCAGGGAATGGTGGGAGGGATTCCCAGCTCTCCCAGGGAAACACAGCACACTGTGGGCCTGCTAAGGCAGGTTGTAGGAAAAGGCTTTCTGGGAGCACAGCTCCTACAGCCTGCCGGGGTCCTGGGGTCCCTCGCTCTGTGAGGGTACCTGCCCTTTGTCACCTGGAACTCAGAAATGGGACCGGCTCCAACCCACCTTTTTTGCAAGAGGCGAGAAATTCAATCATTAATCTGAATTAGCCTCCCAGTAAACTTTCCTAGACTCAAGAATGCTTGAAAGCAATGGAGCTGCTCCACATCCACATGGGGAATGTGAGCTGCCCAAGCGCCTGTGTATGCTGTACTTACACTGGTGAAACAGGAACTTTAATGCAGTACCAAGGATGATTAATTCTCATTGTCTTGGGAGTAAATGATGAGAGGAAAGTAGAAATTTAGTAAAAAGCATGTTTAGAATAGCAGAGCACGGAGGGTGGGGCTTTGCTGTTTCATGAAGAGCTCTCACTTCCAGGTATCTAAAGATTTTATTATGGTACAGAGGAGGAATGGCTGGGCAGGGGCACTCTGGGATACATCCCAAACTGGAGGCTAGCAGCGTATCCCCATACCAATGGCCATGAATGTCCCAAACGTCCCACCGCTTTGCATCATCGTTTTGCCAACTCCACCCATCAGCTCTCGTCCTCTCATGCCAATCCTGAGACAAAGAAAACCAGGGAATTATACAGAAGCTGAAACCTGACACGTCACAGACAAGCAGCAGAAAACATGGGAGACAACGAGCTCATGGTTACAAATGAGCTAAATCAGCCCAAATCTGTGCAGTGGTACCTCTCCTACCCCCGACACTGTTTGTGGTGCCCTGTGCTTGAGCTACTGCTTCAGCTACTGCAGGGGCTCCTGAGTGACCCTCACCCATGGCCCATGTGTATTTTTTCCTGCAGTGGAACCCTCCTGCCACGCCACAGCAAGAACAGCTTTGCATCTTAGTGCCCCAAATACCCTTAATCTGGGAGAAAAAAAAATTGTGCTGTCCAAGTTTTTGACTTGCAAGAGAACAAAAAGAGTTGTCTGAACTATTGTATTGCCATCCTGTCTGGATGCAATGGCAGTGCCTTTAATACCACCAACTTAAAATTAACTTCCTATTTACTACTGATTGTGTTTTTAATATGAGAGACACCTGAAAGGTGTAAAAGTGTCCAGAGGTGTTTCTGGTCTCCAGTTCTCACCTACCTGAGGTCTGACTGAAACAAAAAGAATTGTTCTGTCTCAAGAAGCTCTTGTAATATTTGGCTTTTAAGCACTGCAGTGACTTTAGGGTCTAAAGAATTTCATGCACTTGATTCTTAAAACATGAGATTTTCCCTCAGAAATGGTACAGCAGAACCACTATAACTGCTTCTTCTAAATCCCCAAAATCTGTATTTTCTGCCAGCATTGTGACACTTAGAAATACCCTCTGGGAACTCAGATCAGAAAAACATCAAACTTCCACTGGATTAGACTTCATGCCTTTTCGTCCTGTGTTTAATCACAGGTGAAAACCCTGGAGCAGAAGGAGTTGTGCAAAGTATGAAAGAGCTGACTGCAGTGGTTCCTTCTCACAGGTGATGTGCAAAGCCAGTCAGCAGTGCCAGAGTGAACCCAGAGCAGTGAGTGTGGTGTTTCCATGCTGGTGAGCCCCAGGGAAGGTGGAATGTTGTCCCTCTCTGATGCACAGTGGGGCTGTGCCAGTGCCAGCCACGCTCTGCCCACACTCCTGAGCTCATACCTGGGGTCAGTAACTGCCCCCGTGCAAAGTGACCACAGTGCAGACACTGGGAGCCTGCAGAGCACCTTGGGAAGCTTCAGGGCGAGGAGAGGGCTGCACACACCATTCATCCAGCTCCCCCCAGAGCTGATCCTCCACAGCCTCAGCTTCCCAACAGGTGGTAGGAAAAGGTCTGTGGAACTGCAACCTCCTGGCATAGGGGTGACCCAGAGGTGACACTCTGCCAGGGCCAGACTCGCCTGGTGGATGCCAGGGCTGATCAGTGTGGCCAGTCTGGAGACCCTGACAAACTTCCACCCACGGACAGCACAGGCCCAGGCCCGATCCCTTCCCAGCCCCCCAGCAGCACCATTTCGCTCTGGCTGTCGCCCTGTCACCACCCGCCTGTGGCAGCATTTCCTCGGCGTACCTGAGGCAGGAGAACGTGCCGAACAGCGCCCCTGCAGCCATGCCCACGGCAAAGCCCATCATGAAACCCATCTTTATTCTGTCGAAGCAGCTGGGCTGCGACTGCCCGTACGGGCCCACGGTCACAGGCATCTAGAAAAGAAAGGACAAAACCCACAGGCTTTACTGCTTTGTGTAACGGGCCTCCAC